TTGGAAGGCTTTGAAAAGTCATTTCCTACATTGTCTTTCCCTCCCTTACCAGAACGGGGAGATTTTGATCTACGAGACGTGCTAGACTCACCTTATTTCTTCAACTGATCTATTGCCACTTGCCAGGGCTTCTCTTCATCTCAGACTTGAGCAACCCAAGGCTACCATACCTCTTGTTCTTCTACCTGGTTCTATACGTGTGACCAGTAAGCAGAAGCTGAGAAGAACTCAGAAAATTCTTTGTAGAGAGTAAATGCACTGTGTTCCTGTATACTTTGAAAGGCAACGATACGCATGGAGATCTCAAGTTGGTTAAGTATCTCTTCAACTCAGAGCTTTGGTTTCACCAATATAAGTCTACTTTTCTACAATTTGCCTTTTTCTCAAAGTGAAACAGCAGTCTGGAATCTCTAGATAAAGGGCTGAGAGTTAAGAATTGTCCAATAACACAGATGATAGATGATGATTTTTTGTATAATGATGAGAAGTAGAGATATGTGATGGATTCCGGCCATTCACAGTGTTTGCTGTGAAGTATTTGTTGTGAGAAAAGCAAGATTCTATTCTAGGTTACAGCCTGATTGTATTTTTTCTCTAGTCAATGTAAAGAATGAGTTTTAGAAAAATGATTCCCACGTTCTTTCCTTTTCAAAACACTATAAAGGTGTCAACTATGCAAAATTGTAACAAATATCTAGCATCAAATTTCTGCACTTTGCAAGGGAGGCAGGGTACAAGAAAAAAAAAATGTTCTCATAATTCTCATGCATTTTATATCATTACTTTTGTTAGCTGTTTAAGTTGAAGGACAGAATTGTGACAACCATGATATGAAGCTGAGAAGATGATTTCTTTCTACTAGAATCAAAATGAACAAGAAATAAACCATAAGGATTATAAGGATAATTCTGAAAAAATATACAAAAAGTGAACTAACCAAACTACTCTTTGCGTATTTCAAAAAGATTATTCTGAACATCTTACAGGTCACATCCCTTAATCATGTAAAGGATTACCACAACTGACTCTTCTAATAATGAAAATTACCGAAAAAGTTCCCACTTCCAGATATATGTAATCTGATAACCTTAATAATCATCTCCATCTTTAACCTTAACCATGGCAAAACAGAGTTTTGATTTCGGGGCTGTCCGGAATGACCAAATCTGTACCACTGCATTCCTCTTTAGTGTGCTCTGATTTCCATCTACCACTGAATTCCACTGCTCATTGAACGCAAACACTTGAGACTTTCCCATATTCCACTTGGTGAGGTGGATTTTCGATTTCTTCAGACAGGGTTCTATCAGCTTAACATTCATCCCTCCTTCATCCAGCTTCCTTTTTTCCTCCTCTGTGAGAAAATCTGGTCTCACCTGATTCTCTGGAATTTGCAAACGGTTGTGGGACTTGCTAAGGTCTGTTTTGAATATGATCTTCTGTATCAGCAACTTCTCTTCAGAACCACCCATCTTTTCAATCAAATTCTTGAATCCAGGTGGCATGTTTGGTGGAGGCAGCAAACCCCATTCAGCAAGTTGAGCCATTACTCCATCCTTCTGCCTCTTTGGTTTATTCAGCTTTTCCTCTTCACTTTCTTCACTTTCACGGTAACGTTTCTGACTCTTGTTCCCCCTACGTTCCACTAGTTTAGCATCAAAGAATCTCGTTTCAAAATCTTTAACAGGGGCTCCAAATTTACTGAGAAAACCACTGCCAGTAGTGATTATCAGGGGTTTCGCTCGGTTGGACCTCTGTTTCTTGGGAATGGATTCCCGATCGGCCGCATTCAAGTAATCAACTAGAGCAAAGCCGCCATTAAAATTCATCATATTAAGACCCCACGAGTCAACAGATTTCTTAACCCATGGGAATTGAGCAAAAGCGTGACCGCCATTGACAACATCTCGCGCTTCATTCATCGCTTCCTCCCAGACTTTCTCAATAAAGTAAAGCAGGTTCCCTATGTCTTCCTCGGTGATACCCAGAACCTCGAATAACTCAGAGTTGTTCCCTCCTAGCCCTAGGAAAGAGAATGCAGAAACAGAGACATCGACAGATCGTCCCCCTTTTCCCATGGCACCTTCTTTGACAGAGGAATCAA